TCCCCTGAGCACCACTAGGGGTAATTCCTGAGTTCAGAGCCAGGAGTGACCCCTGTGCATTGCCGGGTATGACCCAAAAAGCAAAAAAAAAAAAAAAGTAAAAGTTGTTTATATAATCTTTAATAATGCTAATAATGACTATCATATGACTTTTATATTTATTTACTTAATAGTTTTTATAAGTTTTGTTCCACTCCTGGCTATTCTTGGGGGCTACTCTGCCTCTGTTCAGGGGACTATATGTGCACTTGAAGCAAGGTCAACTGCATGCAAGGCAAATACCTTGATCACTTTATTATTTCTCCAGCCTCTGAGGTTAGATGTTCTATATTTAAAAGAGAATTATCAGAACTTAATCATATTAGGAATTGAATTTTTGTTTTTATATTTAAATAGAAAATGGAATCTCCTTAGCTATCAGCAAACATACTTAATGTGCCATAGTTAATTTTTATTGGGGGCAGGGGGTTAGGTTTGGAGCCACACCCAGCAGTGTTCAGGAGTTACTCCTGACTCTGTATACAGGAATTACTCTAGGTAGTGCTCAGTGGACCAAATGAAATGTTGGGGATTGAATCCAGTTCATCTGCATGCAATTCAAGTACCCTACCCATTGTTCTATCATGCTGATCTCGCTCCCATGGTTTTTTAATTAGAATATAAAAAATTTTGAAGACAGTCTAAAATTAGCCAATTCACCAGCACCTGGCTATGGAGGATACCCCATTTACAAAATTAAGTTTTGGCACCTGAATGTATGCTTCTATAACATGGAATAATTATAATGTTTACTTGACAGTTAATTTAAAATGTGGGAGCCCACTTAGAGCATTTTATAAATGATGAAATATTAATGTTTGCTGTTATTAAGAAGTCCATTTAAGCACAAATATTTTTGAAAAGACTTTTTTTGGACATTTGTACTGTTACAGTATAAAAACCCTTTGGGTTTTGTAAATACAATAATAAAATTAAATATAAAGGTTCTATGCTTTTATCAAATTTACCTATTACCAAAATCAGCAGAACACATGTGATAGTTTGTTGTCAATGGCAGTAAGCATTAGGAAGGAAATCAAACTATTTAAGCAGTTGTCACATTTTCATATTTTCATGTCATAACTTTCTAAAGTAACAAATATTGCCTTCATTACATGGAACAACTTTTTTCTTTGATGTTCTAGGACAACCAACAATTTCATAACAGCTTACTACTTCCAACTCTTACAATATCATCAACCATCATTTTTCTCTTTGTTGACTGTATTCTAGTCATTGTGATCTTTGTTGAGTCTTGACTCTCCTTAAGGTATGCTTATGCTTTTTGTGTTGATATAGATGTTTTTTCCCCTTGAAATGCGCTTTTCTGATATGTGTCACTATGCCCCCCCAAGCTCTTATATAACTTTTCCACATATTTAATCTCAATAAAACCTATTCCGACTTCCTTTCTAAAATTGCAAATCGCTTTCCTTCTCGAGTCTCACATTACCAATGTGCTTTATTTTATTCACTTTCTTTCTTTCTTTTCCTCCAAAGATCTTAGTACATTCTAATAAATGATGTAATTTATTTATTTGTTATTTCCTCTCTGTTCCTTATAAAATATATGTTCACAAAGGGATCTCTATCTGAATTCTGATTCACTGGTATGGTTCAATCACTCACCACAGACAAGTTTAATTGTAATTTTCTAATAATTTTGATGTTGTTGTTGTTGTTGAGGCTACTATGATTAGTCTGAACAACCACCATCTGTGGAAGACTCTATTTAATTTCTTGTCCTTTACTGCTATGTAACAGGTCACTCCAAAACTGAAAGTATTGATACACAAAATGTATCATTTCTCACTTATACAGTGGATCAGAAACTCAGCCATACCTGTCAGTATGGTTTTCTTGCTACACAAGGATCACTAAATTACCTGACTTCATCTGATGGGTGGAAGATCCATCAAGATTCTATTTGGCTATCTTGCTTTCCTCATTAAAAAGTTCTCACTGTGGCTATTCAGCCACAACTTGATAGTTTCTTCATTGTTTTCTCTCAACTGAGTTCTTTTTGTTATTTTAAACTGTATTTAAACATCATGGCTTACAAACAAATTTTTTTTGTTTAAACAGAAAATGAAATCTCCTTAGCTATCAGCAAAAATACAGTAATGTGCCATAGTTATTCTTTATTAGAGGAGGGGGTTTAGTTTAGAGTCACACCCAGCAATGCTCAAGAATTACTCCTGACTCTGTATTCAGGAATTATTCCAGGCGTGCTCAGGGGACCAAATTGGATATTGGGGATTTAATCCAGCTCATCTGTATGCAAGGTAAACACCCTACCCATTTTTCTATCTTTCCGAACCCTGTTCCAAACTGTCTTATGAACCAAACTGTTCATAATACAGTTGTTTTGGACTTTTGATGTTCCAACACCAATCATACCATCTGACTGACCTTCCTTTCACCATTTTCCCATTATCCAAGCCACTACCCTACCCGGCACCCTTAACAGACTGCTCCACAATTTGTTTTACATTGCTTGTTACAAGTAGTACAGCAGGTAGGGCGTTTGCCTTGCACACAGCCAACCTGGGTTCGATTCCCAGCATCCCATGTGAAACCCAAGCACTGCCTGGAATAATACCTGAGTGCATGAACCAGGAATAACCCCTGTTCATGGCCGGGTATGATCCAAAAAGAAAAAAAAAAACTTCAGTAGAAGAAAATTTGTGAAAATTGTTATATCACACCATGGGATTTTTTTTTCATTTTTTATAATTTTATTTATTGAATCACCGTGAGAGCAGTTACAAAGCTTTCGGGTTTAAGTCTTGGTCATACAATGAAACACCCATACCTTAGCCAGTGCCCATTCTCCACCACCAAAAACCCCAGTATACCCCCATACCCCCACCCTCCCCCTACCTGTGGGGCAGATGATTTTCACATTACTTTGCCTCTACTTTGATCACATTCATTATTTTGACACCAGAACCACCTTTATTATTTGGAATTTTACCCCAACACTCAGATCTGCTGAAAAGGCACAATAGACAATTTGTTTTCAATTGCTGGTTAAAAATAACGTATCATGTTGCGTGACTGCAGTAGTGGCCGCGTATTTTGAAATTCCAAAATTGTAACACTTAAATCTGGTGGGATTTCTGTCAAAACCTGCTGGGTTCTGAGATTTGTTCCTGAGTTTTTGAGATCATGGCCGTTAAGCAGCTTGATCAGGAGCCAGAAAGGCCGTTCATGGGTGGTGACTTGGGGTCTCGTTGGGATGGGGAGGAAAGGGTCCGCCCCACCCCCATCCTGTGAGGCCCTATGTGTCTCGTGACTGAGGGCCCAAACCTGACTTCCAGTGGCCTCTGGAGGATGGTGGCCACCAAGCCACCTAGGGGGGAGCAGGCAGAGGGATAACACCCTTTCCCCCCTGGGGTAGCCCGGTGACAGTAACCTTCTGTGGGTCTGGATGCATTTCTGTCAAAAGTCACTGGGTTCCAGATTTGTTTCTGAGTCTCTTGGATCATGACCATTAAGCAGCTTGATCATTCGTGGGCGGCAACTCAGGGTCTCATAGGGGTGGGGAGGAAAGGGCCGGCTCCATCCCCCATCCCATGAGGCCCTGCATGTCTCGTCACTGTGGGCCCAAACCTGATTGTTCAGTGGCCTCTGGAGGATGGTGGCCACTGGGCTGCCAGGGGGGGACAGGTCAAGGCATGAAACCTATTCCCACCTGGGGTGGCCCAACACTGGTAATCTACTGCAGGGACCAGACACATTTCTGCCAATAACCGCTGGGTTTCGAGATTTGTTTCTGAGACTCTGGAATCATGGCCATTAAACGACTTGATCAGGAGCCAGAGAGGTCATTTATGGGTGGCGACTTGGGGTCTCTTTGGGATGGGGAGGAAAGGGCCAGCTTCACCCCCATCCCATGAGGCTCTGCATGTCTCGTCACTGCAGGCCCAAACCTGACTGTCCAATGGCCTCTGAAGGATGGCAGCCACCAAGCTGGCAAGGGGGAGCAGGCGGAGGGACAGCACCCTTTCCCCCTGGGGTGGCCCGGCAACAGTAACCTACTGTGGGGTCCAGACACATTTCTGTCAAAAGCCACTGGGTTTTGAGATTTGTTTCTGAGTCTCTGGGATCATGGCCTTTAAGCAGCTTGATCAGGAGCCATAGAGGCCGTTCGTGGGTGGCAACTCAGGGTCTCATAGGGGTGGGGAAGAAAGGACTGGCTCCACCCCCATCCCATGAGGCCTTGTGTGTCTCGTCACTGCGGGCCCAAACTTGACTGTCCAGTGGCCTCTGGAGGATGGCGGTTACCAGGCTGCCAGCGGGAACAGGCCAAGGCATGAAACCTATTCCCACCTGGATTGGCAAAGAGTTGGTAACCTACTGCAGGGATCAGACGCATTTCTGCCAAAAGCCTTTGGGTTCTGAGATTTTTTTTCTGAGTTTCTGGGATTATGGTTGTTAAGCAGTTTGATCAGGAACCAGAGAGGCCATGCCTCCAATTATATAGCTGAGTCCGAGGTGGGTTGTGGGTATGTCTCCCACATACCAAACTTTTGGCCATTTACTTTCTTGGTAAGCTTTGCCCCAAGTTTTTGGGGTCTGGCCAAAGGCACAGCAGCAATTTCAGAATTTACTAAGCTGTTTTCTAGTTAGGACTTCTGTATTATTGTTTTTGTTAATTTTAGTTGGTTTCTGGCTTCCAGACTTCTTTCTTTCTTTCTTTCTTTCTTTCTTTCTTTCTTTCTTTCTTTCTTTCTTTCTTTCTTTCATCTTGCTCTCTAATTTTCTTTCTGGTGGGGGGCACACCTAATAGTGCTTAGGTCCTACTCCTGGTTCTGTGCTCCAAGATCACTCCTTGTGCTCTCAAGGGACCATATGGGCTGCTAGGGATGAACTCTGTTGGCTGCATACAGGGCAAGCATCTTTTCTGCTATTTTATCACTCCAGCCCCACTTTCAATCTTCTTTTTTTTCTTTTCCCAGGGGAGAGCATGAACACTGTCCCCCACTACCACAAATTATGTAGTGGAGTTTTCCACATTTGGGGCAATTGAAAGATCAGCATACTCTGAGTGCAGTGGATAAGCCTTACCCTGGGAGTATCACCTTCGTGATCATGGTATCTCCCTTGCCATGTGAGTATTCTTTCCATCTTTCTTGTTACTAGAACTGGCATAGAATCATCTCCTCTATTAGACATTCACAAGCTTGTCCTATACTCAGGAGGATAGGAAATAGAATCTACTGATTAACTGATGGAACTGTAATACCTTACCAAGAAAAAAAACTAAATGATTGTAGCCTATTGGGTGGACTATTGCTGTTGTGTTTCATTTTCAGATGATGAAATTGGATCTCAGAAAGATTAAACTGTCAACAATTTAATAAGTGTCATTGATCTAAGTCAAATTCATGTTTCACTAATTCAAGAGTCTATCTTCTGATGCACTCTGCTCTCCCCAATCTGAAACAGCATTTTCCACTTTTACAAAGAGGCAGTTGGATCCTGTGAAGCAACTTTCTATCAGAACTGAAAAATGGGTCTTGCAGTCAAAAGACAAGAAGTGTTCTAGGATCCTGTCCTGTCCTCAATCATGGGTTCAACCTCAATTTTTTTTACCCATTGAGCTTCTGCAAAATTTGATGTGAAGAAGGGATTCTCCAGATTTAGGCTAAAAATACTGCAAAAATGTACACAAAGTATAAAAAACAAGCAGCTAAATCAAATAATGAGTTTTATATCTCCCAGTTAAAATCTCTAATGTATTCAAAACATTTGTTTTTATGATGATTATCACTCTTATGTTGTTGGTAAGGGTTTGAAAGAAATATTTGTTCATGATATCAAGCCTGTTTTATGAATATCTGAGAATGATTTTTATACAATGTTTTAAAAAATAATAGTTTTAGTGAAGGTTTCCTTTTAGCACTCTTGAAATGTTATAATGTGTGATGTATCTAATTTCAAGCTGATAGGGAAACTGTACATTTCCACAGTGTTCTTTGCAGGGATGTAATTTGGAGAGCAATTTTCCATACAGTTGATGGGCATGTTGCATTACAATTTTGTGCAAACTTGGCACAATATTATTGTAAATTCTAATAATGCTGTTTTCCTCTAATGTTGCAAATACTGAGGGCTGGGGGAGGAGGAGTGTGTGTGTGTAAGAAATCTTGTCTCAGCTTTATTCAGAAGAATACTCCCTTTTTATTTTATAAATTACATTTCTGCACAAGGTTTTACTTGACAAAATGTTATCTGCTGCAAAAGAAAATACAAGTTCAAAGATATATCAGTTAACAGCCTCTGAGCCATCGAGTTCAACTACATAATCTATGGTTTTCATTAATTCATTTTTCAAATTCTATACTAAATGTATTCCTAGAGTTGTTAATGGACTTAATAATCTTCTGAAAGCTTCTGGTAAAGCTATTATTAATAAGAATCAGAATAGACGATATTAGAAAGAATAGTAAGCTTCCTTCTATATGCTGCAGAAAAGCTGATATAAATAATTTGTACTGGTATAATTATTTCTCAATATTTCTTGAAGATTATTAAAGTTCTTTTTTATTTTTTGGCTCTATTTTACTTTAATTTACTGCAGGGAGGCCACAAATCAGGTTGTAGGGCTTCTGCTAGCCACAATGGTCGGTCAATGAAGTTCGCCCATTTTTAGTTGTGGCACTTGTGAACACACTTGACAAGAGTCTTGGTCTCTTATGGAGGCACAGAAATTATGGTGGTGGTGACTATCAGGTTTTGCTGTGATGGTCACACATGAGATCACTAAGGCTCATGCTTCCTGGCCATCTTTTTATTTATGGAGTTCACAGGAGTTTGCATCTCTTGTATGGTATGGGAGGGCCATTGGGCTACATCCAGCCATGCTCAGAGTTTACTACTCCTGTCTCTGTTTTCAGGAGTTACTATTGGCAGTGCTCAGGGGACCACATGTGGTGCTGGGGATCAAACCTGGAATCAATTGCATGCAATGCAAGTGCCCTATCCACTGTATTATCACTCTGGTCCCTTAACTATTTTTATTTGCAGCCAAAACTTATTTTCTGTTTTTGCATTCTAATATTTTTACAGCAATTTTTTAGTAAAAAACAAATGTTTACTAAATGGGGAATAGGAATATTTTCCCTATTTATAAATCATATCAATACTATTCATTGATAAACCTATTTTATTTATCTTATGGGTATGTGTTAATATTTAAAAATTTCAATCAATATACATGACTTAAATGATTTATATTTTTGTTTTATTTATATAAAATGATTTTAGCACTATATTATAAATTTAAGAATCACGGAACCATATCCATGAGAAGCCAATATTAATAGTATTGTAAGCTGAAAATAAAATTTAAAAAGGGAGTGGTGGGGCTGGAGAAACAGTACAGTGGGAAAGGCACTTGTCTTGCACACAACCAACCTAGCTTCTATTCCATATGGTCCCTTGTACACTATCAGAAGTGATTCTTGAGTGCAGAGCCAGGAGTAACCTCTGAACACACCAGGTGTGCCCCCCCAAAAAATACCCAAGAAGCATATATTACAATAATAGGTTACTACTTAACAATAAGAAAAATGCATTAAGAATAAGTTATGCAACATAATTTAATGCAACATAAGTTAATGTAACTTAATGCAGCATAACTTAATGCAACATAAGTTAAAACATTAAGAATAAGTTCACTGTCACTGTCACTGTACTCCCGTTATTCATCGATTTTGCTTGAGCGGGCCCAGTAACGTCTCCATTTTGAGACTTGTTGTCACTGTGTTAGGCATATTGAATATGTCATGGGTAGCTTGCCAAGTTAACGAAACATAAATAAAGCTTTAAAAAATCATGAATTTATCACTGCCTATGGATTTGTATGTATACTTCATTAATTTTTTCACAGAATGATGTCATTCTGTTGTTACTGGTTTGGGGGCCACACCAAACTGTGCTCAGGACTTACTTTTTTTTTATTAGTGAAACACACCATGAGGTACAGTTGTTGACCTTACAAGTTTTTGTGCTTGGGTTTCAGTTATACAATGATCCAGTATCCAGCCCTCCACCCGTGCCTATTCTCCACCCCCAATGATCCCAGTAACCCTCTCACCCCTCCCATCCCCCCCATCCCACCCCGCCTCTGTGGCAGGGCATTCCCTTTTGTTTTCTCTCTCCTTTTAGTTGGGCTGGAGCGATAGCACAGTGGTAGGGCATTTGCCTTGCATGCAGCCAACATGGCCTACTTGAGTTCGATTTGGAGAGCCCGGCAAGCTACCGAGAGTATCTCGCCCGCACAGCAGAGCCTGGCAAACTACCCGTAAGTAAGGTACTCGATATGCCAAACACAATAACAACACAGTTACTGTGTTGTTATATGCCAAACACAGTAACAACAAATCTCATGATGGAGACGTTACTGGGCCCGCTCAAGCAAATCAATGAACAATGGGAGGACCGTGACCGTGCCTCCTTTTGGTTGCTGAGGTTTGCAAAAGAGGCATTGAGTGACAATCATGTTCAGTCTATAGTCAGGACTTACTTTTGACACTGGACTGACTCCTGGAAGACTTGGGGAGCCATATAAGGTACCACAGATTGAATCCTGGGCAGTCAAGTGAAAGGCAAACACCGTATCTACAGTACTATATCTCCAATCCCCCAAGCCCACTAATTTTATTTTTTCATTATCAATTTGTTCTAGTTTTCTTACTCCCTTCTCCTTTACTTCTGCAAGTAGTAGTTGACCTTATAGTGTAAAAGTTTACTTTTTAAAATTTAGTTTGTATGAGTTCTTTTCTTCATATACCACCAATGACCAAAATCATAAAATGGTTGTCTTTATTTTGACTATTATACACTATGAATAATACTCTCTGTGTCCATTTTAGTTGTTCCAAATGTCATAATTTCATTTATTCTTGGTTGATGAGTAAGATGAGTAATATTTCATTGTGTACACATATCATATCTTTATATGTCAGCCATCAGACACTTGGTTTATTTCCAATTTCTGGCTTTTGCAAATATTGTTGCTATAACATGGAAATGAATGCATATTTTCTTGAAATTAGTGCTTTTAGAGTTTTCTAGTAAATGTCCATAGTGGAATAACTAGATTGTATACAATTTCTAATTTTTGTTTTTGTTAGAATCCATATTTTCTTTTACATCCAGTGTATAAATTTATACTCCCCAGAACAATATACAAAGGTTTCCTTTCTCCTCATCCTGTCCCACACTGCTACTTAGTTGTTGGATAACAGCCATCCTTACAGGTGTGAGGTGGCTTCTCTTTGTTGTTTAGGTTGACATTTCTCTACTAGTTAGAGATGATGCAATCTTCTCATGTGCATATTGTCACTTGTATATCTTTTTTTTTAATTTATTTTTTTTTAATTTTAGTGAAACACCATGAGGTACAGTTGTAGATTTACAATTTTTTGTGCTTGGGTTTCGATTATACAATGATCAAATAACCATCCCTCCACCAGTGCCCATTTTCCACCACCATGGATAATATCTCTCCCACCCCCATCCCTCCCATCTCACCCTGCATCTGTGGCAGGGCAATCCCTTGTGTTCTCACTCTCTTTTTGAGTGTTGTGGTCTGCAAAAGAGGCTTTGAGTGGCAAAAATGTTCAGTCCATAATCTACTTTCAACATGCATCTCCCATCCTGGGAGGATCCTCCAAACACCCTTTATTTGGTGCTCCCTTCTCTATCTGAACTGCCCTTTCCCCTAGAATGCCCGGATGGCCTCTAAGCTATGGAGTAATCCTCCTGGTGTTGATCTCAGCTATTCTTGGGTATTAATCTCATATTTTGTTTCTTTATATTCCCCAGATGAATGCAATCTTTCTATGTCTATCCCTCTTTTTCTGACTCATTTCGCTTAGCATGATACTTTCCATGTTGTACCACTTGTATATAAATTTCATGACTTCATCTTTTCTAACCGAGACCTCCAAGCCTACTCGAATTGTAGTCGAGCATCTTCCACCCAGATCCTCCAAATTCCAGTAGGCGGGGGTCACACCCACCACCTGGCCCCCTGGCGCCGTGTAATCCCATCAGTGGCCAAGACTCAGAGACTATAAAATCCAGATCCCGGACGAGAACAGTGCAGT